TAGCAACGAGTACCCCCACCCCTGCCACCAAGAAACCAAGTGTCCCTGGAGATGACTGTTTCCAGCCAGAAACATCTGGTCATGCAGAAGAGTGAGAAGCCACCTGAGACCCTGGGCCCATAACCAAAGGGAGCCAACCAGGAGAGGTTCCCCACCAGACGGGAGACTTTCAGCACCACTACAGGTAGCAACTTCAATGGATTCCAGCACACGAACATATTTAAATCCATGTGTTAATGATACTAAAAACAATCCCCCAAAACAAACTGGCCACCATTGTACAATGCTAGGGAAACAATCCATTGTTTTTGAAACTGGTCAATAAAGATAAGAATCAAGCATTTATCCAGCTTTTCCCAAATAAACTATCACTGGGTGACCAAATAGATGAGGAAATTTCTCTTTACAAAGGTATTTCAAAGTAACTAATAAGTTAAAATTTGATAGAATTAGAATTATCATCATTTTGCAATCCTCAGTGAATTCATGAATCTAGGTGTTGATGGGTCTTGCAAACATTACAAAAGGAAACATTACAAGTCATCTGATGGATGAACATATGAATGTCCTGCCACCCACTTCCGCCCAAAGAAAGGGAAACATGAGCTGGCATCTGATCAAGCTGCTAGATCCAACAGGTTTTTTGTTTTTTACCCCCAGTATTTATTTGCAGGAAATAAAGTTTAAAGGAACAGGGATACAACAAGCAAAGTCTAGAATGTGGGGGACTAAGAGGACATGTACCCTTGTTTCTTTGACAAATGACATGGGTATGTGTGTGTGTAGGGTGGTGACCCTGCAGATTAAAAATAGACACAACTGATCCCTGGGAAACAAGATGGCAGAGTAGGTAACCCGCCGCCTCCCGCAACCACATCAAAATCACAACTAAAACCCAGAACCACCGTCCCTCAGAGCCTCCTGAGATCCGGCTGCACAGAAGCCCCACAGCCAGGGAGCTGAGGCAGCACCGAGACGGGAGGAGGGGGAGACGCGGGCGGGGCGGGGCTGGATCCCGGAGACGCGGCCGGGCCCACACCCGGGGCCGCAGGGAAACCCGGGAGGGAATCTCGGAGGAGCGAGGGGTCCCAGCCCCACAGCAGCCCCCAGCCCAGGGC